CATCTTCAACTCTCCCCCTCTAGCCACCAGCTTCTTCTAAGCACCTCAGTCATCTCTGGGCTTCCAGCTCTAGTTCTGACTTTCTAGGAGTACATATGGGTTTTTGGCATCTGACGGATTTAGGATAAAATTTTGCTATCAAAGACACATACTCCTATTAAAAAATTATAAGCAATAACCTTTTGGAGGTAGACCCTGCTCAGCTGCTTCAATTTGACATTCCTAACAGCAGACTGAGCATGAAAGAGGCAGTGGTAACAATGGACTGAGAAAGACACCAAGGACTGCAACACTGCTTAGAACAGGTTATTACAGTCTGATGAAAGATAAAGAGAATTGAAAGAGTGACCCTCCTCACTTTCTTCCATCAATACATGCACATACAAAAATATCCCAAATCCCATTCTATTTCAAAAGCAGTTCAATGCCACTATACCAAGCCAATCATATAAGATTCTCTTCTGAAAAAAATAATATCTTGCATTATCTTCAGAAATATTTCTCTCATATATTAAAGAAGAGACTCAGTTTCTCTATCTACTGGAAGGCAAAATGGAGCCCGCTTCGGAATTATGACATCTTTTCAAGGGACAAAGGAGGACATAGTCCAATCTATAACAAATAAAAGGGAAAGAATATTGCCTGAACAAGACAACAGTGGGTAGATAATAAAATTTAAAATAAATTTTGATCTAGAAATTCCCCTTATATGTAAAGTTGGTACCCTGATTCCAAATTTTTGTTCTATGTTCTCTGGAGAGATGTTGGCTCAACTTTAAGACTTTTTACCTTAGTAGTTTATAAAGAAGGAAAATAGACTATCTAAAGCCTGAATAATCCTCCAACAGAATTCTCTGAAAAGAAGAACTGTGTCTAAATGAAAAATGTAGAGAATTAATAAAGCAGATCAACAGTGCTGCACCGAAGTAAGATAGTGAAAGACTTAATAAAATGAGAAACTCCAGAGAACGACCTATCTCCTAGCTTGTAAATTTGAACAGGGATATCAAATAATCTACAGCCATCAGAAGTATCTCTTTCAGCCACTGAAGCTAGGCAATAAAAAAGGAGAGAGTGACTTTACACAAAATCTCTTGAGCTAAGGTATCGCAAGACTGACCTCAGGGATTAAAGGCAGAAAATAGTGGAAGAAACATAGTCTTCTGGGAAATCTCTCGTGGGCCAGATATCAGACATGCAAGTCTTACCCTGGACTTTATGGCTGGGTTACTGGGTTGGAAGGGCACAAGTTTTGATTTCCAAAATGACACCACTCTGGTCTTTAAGGCCAAGGGAAAAAGAAGATAACAAAATTATATATTTGGGGTGGAAAAGAATAGTTCCAGATGAAATCTCTGCATTTATAAACACTTTCTTAGGTCATCTACATGTGGTCTTCAAGGCTGATGAACAATAAGTAGTTTGTGAGAAGCTCCTTCATAATTTACTGTTTCCTGGGTCCATTCTAGGATTTTAAGGGCTATGCTAGCAAAGGAAAATGAGGCTCTGTGAGAAATTTTCCTTTATGATATGCTCTAGCCTCCAAAATCTCCATATTAGATACATATTGTCAGGATACCAATGGAAGTGGAGAGAATTTTTAACAATAAAATAACTTCCCTCTGTTCATAAGTCCAGTAGATTGCCCTTGGCTCTGCTATTTGATCTCTTTCTTCCTTATTTTGGGCAATGTTCTCCACAAGGGGCCAAGAATCTATCATGGACACAACTTTGGCTATCAGCCGTTGAGCCCC